CTGTGAAAATGTTTCTGTCCTTATTTGAAGCAATCAGGGCAGATGGGAAAAAAGCTGACACTGCAGGTTCCAGAACTGATGAAGCCTGTGCTGGTCACAGCCACTCTTCCCTCCCTGTGCCATGGACCCAGGCTTTAGGCTGTGCAGCACAGGGACATCACAAGGGCACAGAAACTTGGGCTGCTGGTAGCCAAGGAGCTAAGGTCTTCTGTAAAATGAAGAGCTGCACACTCCAGGCATTTAAAACTCTTACCCTAGCTCTTTTCACCTGTATTTACATGGGGAAAAAATATTGAATACAAGTACCATGGTCTGTATCTACTTGCCCCTCACTTCTGGGCTGTTTGGCTTTCAAAGTTATGTCCATGCCACAAAGGCTTCCTTCTTCTAAAATGAAGGCTGAGGTTTGCAAATAAATCACATGACTTCCTGCCAAAAACAATTACTGTGAGGTGCATGACAAGCCATTAGATCATCATTTCAATTTGACTTTCCAGTGTAAGGTGCAAGAGAAATCTTCACTGGAATGGTAGTGCCAAAGACAGCATAGACAATTACTTTCTATCTGCTCAGCTGCTTCTAGAGAGTTGGTTAGACACCTGCTTCTGCAGAGAAGGTCAGTGTTCTTAAATAGCCTTCCACCCTGGGAAGATAAAAAATAGTCCAGGGTGGGCCACTCAGCCCTTACCCTTCCTGGTGAGACACTGAGAAGTGAGGAGGCACTGGTGTTAGTAGTGGTTTTGTGATGTGGACCTGTTCTGGAAACTGATTCATTGTAAAGAGGAACGAAGCAGTCACCAGACGTTGCCATCTTTTGGTTTTTAGCAACCAAACCTAGAAGTCAGATTCTGTTGCATCATTTTGCTCAAACTCGTGTCCTTTTACGTTAATGACTACAGTCCCAAGTCACTGGCCTAGGGATCTGGTCTAGCTCATGGATGGACATCTTCCAGATCCACCATTATTTGTTGTTTTTATCCTTTTTTCCTGCTTAGATGGAGAAGATGAGGGCTTCAGGGAAGCAGAGCTGTTGGGTCTAAAGTGGTTGCCACCTCGTGGTCCTGCACCTGTGGGCACAGGTGGCTCACTGGCACCATGGCACAGTGCCTACTGATGCAGGTTCTTTGCATTTCTGGCCATCTGCCTGGAGCAGTGGGTCACAGAGCAGGTCCCAGGCTGAATCATAGAAGTATTTGGTTGGAAGAGAGCTTTAGGTTCATTAAGTCCAGCACTGTTAACCCAGCACTGCTGTGTCACCACTACACCATATTCCTCAGCACCACATCTACATGGCTTTTAAATCCCTCCTGGGATGATTACTCCATCATAGAAGTATTTGGTTGGAAGAGACCTTTAGGTTCATTAAGTCCAGCACTGTTAACCCAGCACTGCTGTGTCACCACTACACCATATTCCTCAGCACCACATCTACATGGCTTTTAAATCCCTCCTGGGGTGATGACTCCACAACTTCCCTGGGCAGCCTGTTCCAGGGCTTGACAACCCTTTCAGGGAAGAAGTTTTTCCTGATATCCAACCTAGACCTCCCCTGATGCAACCTGAGGCCGTTTCCTCTTGTCCCATCAAAGCCCTGCATGGCAGCTGTGGGTGCACTTCAGGGAGTCAGAATGTACTCCCAGGAACTTTGCTAGGAGATGCATTATCAAACTTCAGCTTTGGGCTTGGGCTGGCCAGGACTGAGCCCTCCCATATTGCATGCCAGGTCAGAGAAATCCCACATCATGTCACGTCACATCACATCGTGTCATGTCTCTTAACACCTGGCTGACACTGCTCTGTCTCTTTTTGAAGCACAGCCAAGCAGAGAGGCTGAGGTGGGGGCTGTGTTGTGTGAAGCCCTCAAAACACATTGTGTGTACTTCAGTTATTTTTCTTTTTCATTTTGTCTGTCATAAGGATGAGAGGAAATGGGCTTACGTTGTGCCAGGAGAGGTTTAGACTGGATGTTACAATTTCTTTCATGGCAGTGGTGAGGCATTGGCCCAGGCTGCCCAGGGAGGTGGTGGGGTCACCATCCCTGGAGGGGTTCAAAAACTTGTAGATGTGGCACCTGGGGACATGGTTTAGTGGTCATGGGAGTGCTGGGTTGAGGGTTGGACTTGATGATCTTGGAGGTCTTTTCCAACCTTTATGATTCTAAGATTTTATCTCAGAACTGAATAAATCAATTCTCAATTCTGCTGCTTCAGAGGATGGCTCGAAGGGAAGATGCCTTTTATTCCTCCTCTTTTTGAGCAGGGAGCAGAGGGAGGAGAGCAGAAGACGGGTGCTTTGATCTGCCTGTTTCTTATTCTAGTTGCGTAAACGCAACGGAGTATTTCCCTAAATTAAATTAAGCAAACCTTTTCTGTTCTGCCCCTGCTTCAAGACAGCTAACGTGGCTGCTTGCAGATTTGCAGCTCCAGGGAAGACAAAGATCTGTAGCGTGCACAGACTCGAGTGCTGAGCAGCGTTGTGCTGAAAGAGCCTGCACGAGCTTTAATAGGGGATAAAAGCTTTTGGGGCACCCAGCAAAAATGTGTGTCAATCCCCGGCAGGGCTGAGAGCACAGTGTGTGTTATCAGTGTGTGCACAGAGACGGGAAGGCTCCCGAAACATTTGCATTTTGGATTTGCTGTAATTAAAAGGTTCCAACCTCTCTAAAAAGGTTGAAATGGTGGAAGGAGTCAGTATAAGACTTCAGCTTTTTGCTGTCTCCATACAAATGTGAAGGGTTCTTCCCCTTTCTCTGCATGGGTGCCTGACTTGCACTGATCCTAATGGCAATTTTTCTTGAATCTAAGGGTGTAAAACCCCATAGGCTTTGATTTCCTCTTTCTAGTCATCATTTGGTACTCAGACTGTGACAGTCCCGAGTGTTCCCTGCCCCACACAGCGAAGGACAGACCCCCCACTGTGCATAGCACTGAACACACAGCAAAAAGATTGTCCCCAGGCTGCAGTTCCTCCTGAAAGCAGATCCTTTTCCTCATGATCTTGAGCGATTAGAGCCTGCACAGCCCCCAGATAAAACACAACAGGCACCTGTGAGGCAGGACGATGGGAGTGGGACTGGGGCAGAACGTGATGCTTGTAGATCAGTGGTGAGCAGGTTGGATGGTGATGTAGTACACAGGGTTCTTTGGGGGGAAAATGACTTTCAGGAAGGTTTGAGTGTAGGCAAGTTTTGTCTAAGATTTCCCTTATAATGATAACTAATTGTCCAGTTTAAAATCTCTCTGCGAAGAGTCTGTGTAACTCAGAGGACTATTATATCAGTGGTCTGTATCAAGTGGCGTAGCTGGAGCTACCAGTTAGAGGAATATAGGGCAGGTGGATGAATGCTTTCTCCAGTATCAAAGAGATGCAGAAAAAAAAATTGTTCAGGAGTAGGAAAAGAAGTGCTCTAAGGTTGAAAATGTCAACTCCATCACCAGTAGCAGTCTGTAAAGATGAAAGAGAAAAGTGAGAAGGGAAGACCATGGCCACTGAACAGAGGATTCCTGCCCAATTGAAGAGGAAAATGAGCATGTCTGTACTTACCTGATTAGGTGAAGGTAAATAGGAGCGGGCTGAAGGGAGAGCTTTCCCTTCTTGGCTGTTAACTGGATCCTGCCACTTCAGTGGTGACAACCCTCCCTCCAGTTTCAGCTCCTCAAATAGCAGCAGGCAACGACTGGGCACAGGCAGCGTGGATCAGCTGCTTATTGCATGTTTGGGCTGTGACCCCCTTCTTCTTCCAGGCAGGCTGTTAAATATTCATGGAAGTGGGCTCTGACAGACCCTTGCCATCTGTCTGTATTTGTATGATTTCATCCAAACAGCTCCAAAACATATAAAATTCTATCCTCACTGCAGCCCTTTCAAGAAAAAGGGATTTCTCACCTATCTGAAGGGAAAAGGAATGAAAACACAAAGCGATTTAGTGAGTAACCAGACTGACTCATCTGGACTCCAGCAGACAGGAGCCAAATTCAGCTCTTTTAAGTGCCAGGTCCAACTGTAGCCGGAGGCTCGCAAGGCCAAGATCATATTTAGTGCTATAAGGTGTTGTATAGCTCACCTAATATTGCTCATTCAGCGTAAAAAAATCTTTGCATGCAACTAAAAGGGAGACTCTGTCAGTATATGTGTGTGTGAGTACAGAATGAAGGTATTTGATGAGGAGAAATCAATAATAAAGCCATTATTTAGGCATCTCAGGCTTCCCTGCCTTCAGTTGCACACCTTGATGGGCAGTTAGAACAGGATTGTCACACAAGCTTCAGTAAACAGCGTGCCCATATGGGCAGTTCAGTCAGGGAACAGATTGTCACAGCTACGTTTGACCTGGTTTCGAGCAGTCGTGGCTCTCCCTTGGCACTGTGGATGCACTGCTGACATTTCAGCAGAGCTGCTTCCAAAAAAATGAGTGCCATTGTCAGAACACTGTGGCATTTCTACATTTTAAACCAAGCCAGCCGCCCAGTACTGCTCCCCCTCTCCAGGCAAAACAGGCTGAGTGGGAAAGATGAAGGGACAAGGCCATGCAGGAGACAAGCCCAGACGTTTCAGTGTACCTGCGTTGAGTTCCTGTGTGCGTGCGGTCATGTTTCCCACATGCTTGAGGGATCTGAGTCTGAAGCTCAGATTCAGCTCTTGAAGCCCACGCACAGCCAAGTTATCACAGCAGAGATGTCTGTGAGATGGCTGAGTGGGGGTGGTTGGTTTTGTACCTGTTGCTAGAAGGTGGCAAATGTGGGGTAGCAGTCCACCTCACCTTAGCTTACTTTCTTATGCTAATTCTAGGCATGAGCACATTTTGAAAATGATAAATTTTCACAGCGGTGCTGAAGAAACTCTTAGATGCATTTTGGAAGCATACCAGAGGGGAGCTTTGTGCCTTTAACAGCATAATGAAATGCCTCCTTCTTTCTCCTTGCTTAGTCTTTAAGGCTTTCAGCTTACTCGGTCGACATATTTTTATTGATGATTTCTTTTTGTGAAACTATATTTCAGGCATTGGAAAAAACGTCATCTGTGACCGAACGGCGACTCCCCTGGATGCCTTCAGGATGATGACGGCGGCTCACTACTACCCAAAGCTGATGAGCATCATGGGGAACGTGCTGCGGTTCCTGCCCGCCTTCGTGAAGATGAAGCAGCTGATCCAGGAGGGTTACGTGGGGGAGCTGCTGGTGTGCGAGGTGCAGGTGCACAGCGGGAGCCTCCTGGGCAAGAAGTACAACTGGAGCTGCGACGACCTCATGGGGGGCGGGGGCTTGCACTCGGTTGGCACCTACATCATCGACCTCCTGACCTTCCTCACGGGCCAGAAGGCCGTGAAGGTGCACGGCTTGCTCAAGACCTTCGTGAAGCAGACGGACCACATCAAGGGGATCCGGCAGATCACCAGCGACGACTTCTGTACGTTTCAGATGGTCCTGGAAGGCGGCGTGTGCTGCACCGTGACGCTCAACTTCAACGTGCCCGGGGAGTTCAAACAAGACATCATCGTGGTGGGCTCGGCGGGACGGCTGATTGTCATAGGCACCGACCTCTACGGACAGAGCAACAGCTCTCCTCAGCGGGAGCTCCCGCTGAAGGACTCCACGCCAGTCAGCAAATCCTTACTTCCAGAGAAGGCCTTCAGTGACATCCCATCCCCCTACCTGCGGGGCACCATTAAGATGGTCCAGGCTGTCCGGCAGGCGTTTGAGGACCAGGACGACAGGAGGACCTGGGATGGGAGGCCCCTTACGATGGCTGCCACTTTTGACGACTGTCTGTATGCCCTGTGTGTGGTGGACACCATTAAAAAGTCAAACCAGTTAGGGGAGTGGCAGAACATTTCAATCATGACCGAGGAGCCTGAACTGAGCCCGGCATACTTAATCAGCGAAGCCATGCGGAAGAGCAGGATGTCTCTGTACTGCTAGCTCCTCTCAGCTCCTAGGGAAGAATAGGAACCAGACAGCTCTTGAAGGGAATGGTAACTCAGCCCCTGTGAAGGGCTCGGGCATCTTAGAAACAGCTGAGGATACGGGACAAGGTAATAGGAAGGGGGTTTGGATGAACTGAATCTGTTGGTGGCTAAATGCCAAAGCGACAAGGTCCTTAGAAATGCCCCAAACAGACTGGAGACATAAGAGCTGACATAACAACAGTATTAGCTGGCTGATTGGAAAGACGTACCATGGACTCATCTCCTGCTTGCAGGTGCTTTAGATTATCCAATTGTGTTTACTGTGAAAGGTTGGGAAGATCCTTTTAGATCTTCCTTACCTACCAGAGGGCTGTGAAGGTACTGTCATGTCGTTCAATTTTCTGTAGTGTCTGACATGAATGGTTCCTGCCACGACAGCTGACACCCTCGTGCTGTAGTACTACACCCCTGCCCAACACACGGAGTAACAGGACCTGGTGTGAGAGTGTCGTGTGAAATGGAAAATCCTGGCAGCTCACTTTTCATGCAGCTTGTTAGGAGCTTCTCCGTGTTGGGTTAGCTAGTTGTTTTTTTGTTTTTATTTTAAAGCACAATTAAGTAGGAAAATGGTTGGCTTTTGAAACAAAGCAGTCCTCAGCCACAGTGCATATGCCCTGATACTGGGGGTGGGTGGGTGTCTCCTCTGAGCTCCTGGTGAACTTCAGTGTTAACTGCACAGATCTGCTGATGAAAATGGTTGTGCAAAACCTTCATGGCTGGCAAGGGGCACGACACAGACGTGGTCATGGGGTTTTTTAGAGAGCTGAACTCAGGCTAGTCTTATTGAAGGTTTACGTACAATTTCCTGTGTCTGGGACTGACTTTTGAGCAAATTTATTGTGCATTTTGGTTTTAGGTGGAAAACAGTAGGAATCCAGCCTGTATGATGCTCCCATATGATGGGTAGTGTTCTTTTAAACCTTTGTGAACTCCCACCTGAGACGTGCACACCGACAATTAATTCCATATAGCTCAGCCCTGAAGCTTTCACCTCCACCAAGTGGTGATGGAAAAACTCCTCGTCCATTTCCAGGGAAAAAAACTTACCTGAGACCCCCACCCCTTCACCTCCTTAACATGGGCAGCTCCTGGTACTGTAGTAGTCATTCCCTGTCACCAGTACAGGGCTGGGCAAACTTTTGATCTGTTTATCCTCTTTTTAATATTTTAGATTGCAGTCTTGAAATAATTTGTCCTTTGGAGAATGTATTCTCCAGAGAATACAGTGAAAGGCACGTGGATTATCCCAGAAAGGAGAGGTCCTGCTTTTCTGCACAAAGCTGCTCCACTGCTTACGTGTTTACAGCTCTAAGTCCTCAGAGAGGAAGAAAGCAGAACACGAGCATATAGCACTAAATTGTATTAAACTTGAGAAAAACCTTTTCAGGGTTTTTTGTTAATTTTGATGAGGGGAAAGAAGAGAACATTTGGACAAGCAATAAATTAAAAGAGAATATACAACCCTCTTTTTTAAGGCCATCACATTAGTGTTGCCATTCCAGGTTGGAAAGAGAACTGTCAAAATAATGTCGATTTTAAAGAGCACATACAGTTTTGCTATTTTTAGGAGCACTAAGGGCTTCTTTAGGGCTTCTCCTACAAATAACTCCTTCTGCTGGCTCTATGCTCCTGCCTGTCCTCTGCCCAGTTTTAGAGCTTCGTGGTTTTGAACAGGAGAGCATCTGTAGTGTGGTTCATCTCATCTGGCTTCAGCCAGCTGCAGGTCGGGTGTCCTGTCCTGGTCAGCTGTGGAAGGATGCAGCAGCCAATACAGAGAGAGCTCTCCACAGGCTGACTCAGTTTATCCCCAGATTGATACAGAAGGAGGTGCCCATTGGGAATTCCCATCCTCTTCCTTTGCAGAAAATCTTGCCTTCTACTTTTTTAGGTGGCTAAAGTTAGAAAACTTGACTTGCACCCCAAAATTATTAATGTGCGCTTAATTTTTGAAGAGCATACGTGTGTGTCCTGTCACAAAATACTCCCCAAAGTGTGGTAGTGTGACTGGTGAAGGAATACTGTGTTTCTGCAAGACCACACCCAAACAGAGAATTGTTTCTATCCATGTTGTTCTGGCAGTTCTAGCAACTGTCTTTGGGGCTGACTGCTTCTGCAAGGGACTGACATTGGGCAAGCTTTCATCATTCCTTCTTGGAAACAGCCCTTGACAAGTTTGTGTGTTTTTCCTAAAAATGAATTTCTCTGAGAATTCCTGAGGTAGTATCTGGGCCAATAGGAATTTCCCATTATGATGATCTTGGTATACTGTGCTATCCAGTTCCTGCCCTGAAAAGTACACAGAGAAATACAGAAGAGAGAATTTGATCAAGAAGTCATCTCTCTCTGTCTCCTGAAAAATGGAACTAGGGGATCAAGAGAGTTTTTACATAGTAAGGCAAAAGCCATTTAGTGAAAGTAGTGGCTAGTTCCAGTCATGAATGCAAGCCCGGTGGATAATTATCCATCTCTAGTTAAACATCATCCAAAACTGGAACTAAACATGGACCAAAGTGTTTGTGAGTCTTGCTTCCTAGTGGTTTGGCTGTTGAGCTGGAATTGCTGTTCCTGCCTCTGCACCTCGTTTTGGTTCACAAACACTGACAGTTTTTCCTGTCTGTATTTTCTTTTTTCTCTGTGTCTTTCTGGGTGTTGTGAGGCCAGCTGGAAGAAGACACACTGGGCTCCTGTTCCCCCCTGCACTGCACAGTCCCCAGGAGAGACACGGTGAACAGGGACGGTACTACTGAGCTCAGCCTCTCTGCCCTGCACCCAAAGGGTTAGGTGGCAGGCATCACCCATCCCCTGTGCAGAGGTACTGATGCAGATAGTGCTGCTGAGCAGGAGGAACCCACTGCTTTGGTTACATAGCTATCTGATGCTGGTATTAGTCCTGGCTTGCACGTGGGCTGGATCCTGTACAGCTCCTTGTGCGACCACGGCGGTGGCCCCAGAGAGGTGGGCAGGGGCAGGGTGGGACCATCTCTTCTGACACCAACAAAGATCTGATGCTAGATTTAGGTGAAGGTGTTCTCTAACTGGGGTGGCAGCAGTAACTGCATACATTCAGGATTGTGTGACAGTTTTTCCATTCTCTGGAAGGTGAAGGTGTTGTAGGGTCGAGTGTAAAGATACTAAACTTCCACCTGACTTAGAGGAGGAAGGAACTGGTTTATTTATAGAATGTGTATTATTCTTCTGATAAATTGTTACTCCACAGCCTGGGATCTTTCTTGGCAGCATCAAGCCCTCTGCTCTTTGGTACTGTTGACAGTACACTGAATTGCCCGAAGTAGCCTCTGGAGTTCATGCTGGGTTTAAGAATTTGGGCAGCAGACAGCAAGATGTACTTGACTGAACTCAAAAGCGGTACCACACCAGGAAACTTTTATTCAGAATTGCACTTTTAATGCTGTGCCACGAGGCTTGAGATGAATGCTGCTAGAATTGGTGTAGGCCTAATAGCCAAACTGTGGCTACTGCTGGAATTTCCAGTGGCTCTCAAAAGAGCTTGGTCATACACTAGGTAAGAAACGTTGGCTCCTCTTTCCCAGGGCTGCTGCTGGAGAGGCCCTTTCCTTTGCCATCAACCTGTGCACGTAGGATCCTGAACATTATGGTCTGTTGCCAAAGACAAAAAGAGTCAAGGGGTGAGCCCAGGTGGAGTGCTCTGCTGCTCTGCAGGGGTCTGTTCCAATGCTGGGACAGTCAGCTCAGAGGCCATGGCTTGTTTCCCATGGGATTGTGTTGGGATCCACACTGGGGATGAGGCAGCCCTGTGGTGTGGGACAGCAGGGCACAGCTGAAGTCCTGCCCAAAGGGGGAGTGGTGACTGCAGCAGGGAGAGACAGGAGGGTGTGTCTGCAGTCTGCTGTCTATATGCCTGCACCAACAGGGAGGAGGTGTTGGTTGTGCCGAGGGGGAGGGCTGCACCTCCTGAGGGTGACAGCAGCAGCCTTGCTCCACCTTTGTGTCTGGGAGCCCGAGAAGGGACCCTGCCCTGGGGGAAGCAGCATCTGTCCTGTGCTCCTGTTAGATCCCTGCACCTCCTCCGTGCTGAGCGACGTGGAGGCGTAAGAACTCTGCAGGAGCTTGGGGCTTCCTATAGCTAATATCATGCATGTGTTAAATGAGTAGTACTTTAGCTGTGTAGTTAGAGAATACCAAGTAGAGATGGCATGTCCTTACCCGTGCAGCCAACGTGGCAGAGAGTCAGGGCATGCGTGAGTTCAGGCTCATGGGCTGCTGCAGAGTTCCTCCTTTGCTTTGGCCAGAAGCATGAGAAATTCCTGCCCAGCCAGCACAGGGCAAGCAGAGGCACTCTCCACTTTGTGCTTGGAGTTTTGTTCGGGTAACTTTTGAATCAGTGGCTGTACAAGCGAACAGCTGTCCTGGAAGTTCTGCCATTCAAAAAAAGGAATGTGTGGTCACAGCACAAGGACAATTTGATTTCTCTGTTACCTTGTTTATTTCTCTGTCCACACAAATGTGAAAAAGACCCAGACGATTTAAAATGGATCGTTGATCTACTAAAAAAAGGGCATTTTATTTAATGGGTAAAGGTAAACATAGTATGGTGATACTGTCTGTACATTGACCCAGAATTGCTGATGATGGAATTTCTCATTGCTGGAAAGTTTTATATTTGACTTTCATCTATGGCCTTCAGTACAAAATATCATAAATTATGAAGTCTATTCACTGCTGAGTTCTGTGTTTACAAGGGTTTAAAAGCACCCAGCAGACTTTGGGCTCTGCGTAGATATTCAGCACTGATGGGATGTTCCAATGGCCCAGTGATGTACCCTTAAGTACGTATGAAACTCGGTGCTGGACTCTGGCCTCTGCAGTGCTCTGTGGGTACCCAGGACCAGTTGTGAAATGGCAGGATTATTCAGGACAGCAGTTTCTTCTTCTTGTTGTTGAAGTTGTTACTTGTGGGGAGCAAAGTTTGTAAATTTTAGAGATGAAGCAAATTTTAGAGATGACTGAATAATAGTTGGCAGTCTTATCTGCTTTAAAATTTCCTCTCTCTTGAGCTGCTGGATGAAGTCTGTCCAGTCAAAACAATTTCCCTTCAACAATAGCTGCCCACTTCTGTTTGCTCATGAAAAGATGAAATTTGAAGTAAATGGGACTATACATAATGCTGCATTCATGAACCACTGTCATAACCTCCTGACTTACTGAAGCCAGAGCAAGTAATGACTTTCTGGAAGCTGCCAAATCGAAGCCCTGGGGTTGGGGAACGAAGGGTATCAGCTTAGGTCAAACCAAAAATGGCTTTTATTCAGCAGTTTGAGTTAT